TAATAATAACGGTCTTTATTGATTTTGTTTTTGCTAGCCACGAATACATTGCCTAGGGCGAGATTCAGGAGTAGAAAGTCTACCCCTGCTCTTCCATCTAACCCATAATGATTCCACTTGATCGACAATGTTGTGGTCATTAGTAGGTAGAGGTATACCATGGATTTTACAAGACATTGAATCACAGAAAAGAAATAAAAATATTAAAAATAAGATAAGTAAAATAGAAACAAAATTCAAAAGTGCGCTAATTATTATTGCAGTAGCAACTTCGAAATAATGCGAGTTCTGAATGCTGTGAAAGTGTACTTACTGATGGCCATATCTAGTGTATTAAACCATTGCGTTAAATTATAAGAGAAATGATCTCTCAAATATTGCCGTTGCATGAATATGTGGTGTAAGCAGCCCTTTATGGCGTAAATTTAAGGTATGAACATCAGTTCGAAATTTCAGCTTGTTATAGAGATAAGGAGGCGTTTTATTTATTAATAGTTTATAATAAAAGCAGGCTGCGTGCAAGTTTCGCCTGCCCTCCATATTCAGCCAATTTAAATCATTCAGCTTGTGGCTTATATGTCCAAATTTTCGAATGCCGCAAATTATCCTAATACTGCTATTCTGCAATTTTTGAATTCTGTTACAATCTGAGCGTGTAATACATTTATTATACACTACATCTACATGGTCATCAAAGCATCGGGGTGGAACAGAGCATCGCTTTAATGCGTATCTCAAAACAACGTCTATATTGATAAATGAGTAGCACACTGTACGCTTTTTGCAATTTATGTTGCGTAAACCTCAAATTGCTATCCATGTGCTGTGTGCAACCCTAGATTCTTGACTTGAGTGGATAAGGGAATGGTGGCTGCGTCGATTCTAGGGCAGATGTCATTTAGATGCCGTTCACGATCGTTTTTCTTCCCAAACAGGATAGCAACGGACTTAGAGGGGTTTATATTTAAGCAGTGGGATTTCGAACATTCAGCTAGCCTTGCTAGGTCACAGTTGAACGCAGCTAGAGCTGATTCAGTTACACTTGGGGGAAAAGACAAATATAATTGCGTATCGTCCGCGTAACAATGCAGTTTTGTGAAAGAGACAGCAGATTCTATCTGCGACACATACACACAAAACAATATTGGGCCTAGTATGGAGTCTTGGGGGACGCCGTGAGTGATATCTAAGAAAGAGGATAATCTATGTTGATGTTTAACAGCTTGTTTTCTATGTATATCTAGCGCCAGTTTCAAAGTTTGGTTTTGCGCATGCGCAGTGCCAACTTTTTTATCTATGGAAGCATTTAAGTGAAATTTGATACTTAGGTGCTTGGAACAAAGGAAAATCTAACATTAGTTTCAAAATTTAGGTTTGCGCATGCGCAGTTCCAAATTTCTTATTTAGAAAAGCATTGAAATGAAATTTTTATTATAAACTGAAATGCGCTTTTTGTAAATCCTTTACGATTACTTTTTAACTTGTTTATTTTTTACTCTTAGATGGAGAGCATGATGTGCTTTCCCGGGTTTTCCTTTCTGATTATTTAGTTTGTTGGGTGGGGGGAGGAGGGGCTACTGCGCACGCAAAAATTACCATTCCTGTACTACTACTGCCCATCATGTAATATCTGGTTGGTGATAGCGATAACCCCCAGCAAAGGAAGTTTGAAGGTGTATTTAAGCTAGTAACCATTTTATTTTTTCTTGTACTAGCTATTAATTATTGAATCTCTTGCCACAATTTGATATGATTTACATTTTGCTTGCATAAACTACGGTATCTAAATATGGCCAACTCCATGCTTTTGTTTTTGAGTACCATTAGATGAATCGTGTTTGTTACCTATACTGTACAGTAGGTGATTATGCCATTCATTTGTTTTATTAAGTATTTATTTCTATATCCACGAAGAGTTAAGTATCAGTATCAGTGCGATGTTGCTTTGTTCGATTGATTCGTAACTATTCCGTGAGGGAAGCACCTAATACAGTTTGATTCGCTGTATCTGTTACTTTCTGATTCGTGGCGCGCTGCACTGTGCGTTAGCTATACGAAGGGGGGCTCTCTTATTTGATGTTTCTGTGTGCGAGTGGTTCAACCTGTCTCCGTGGAGTAGGTAGGTACCTAATACAGTTCGACCGTTCGCTGTATCTGTTGCCCACTCGGCTCGTGCGGATTGCAGTTCTTAGCAATGTGAGATATTTAGGGGCCCTCTCATTAACATTTCCTCTATTTAAAATATGTTCTGCTTGAGCGATAATCGATTTTCACATGAATACTTGCAATTGCCATTCTCACATGTACTTTTCGTGTTAAATTAATTTATGTTAACTGAAGGCTGGAGTAGAGCCACACCATTTACATGTCTCCTATGTACTTTACGAGTTGTGTTAACTCAATTGATCGTACAGCTTATTTTGATGTGTTTTTATACTGAATTGATTTATCAAGTTTTCTACTGCATTTATGATGTCTTGTGTATTTTGTTTTTATGAACTTGTTTAATTGCATTTGTTTTGATTATCTGATTTTTATCATACAATTTGAGATGTTTTATTTATGTGTATTTTCTCTTGCATTTTATTGCTGTAGGTGATTTATTTCATGTATTTGTGTGTCCTATGCCGGGGTTTTTGTCCCATAGAAGGTTTCCCTGGTATGGTCTTGTTGTGTGCGTAATATATTTATTTGTTCTTGTCATTTTTTACGCACAAAAGTTCTGTTTATTTAATTCACATCCCAACACATTCAAGAACCGATTACACAACGTAGGACTTCATTCGTGCCACCCATATATCGAGCCGACTGCCATCCAAATTCGAAAGTGCCGCAAAACGTCCATCGTTTCGACTCGAAAGGTAGGTGGCTCTGCTCATAGTTATTTCCCAGTTACCACCGGTAAGTATAGGTAAGTCAACGTTTTCAGTGTCGGCTTGATAGAACCTTAGGACCATTACAAGATGTTGCAGACGGAGACGCGAAAAGCTGTAGTACCTAAGTTAGGCGGTGGATTTTATTGTCTCGGTTGGCAGAAAGTCTATAATATGCTGAAGATAATCTTACGATGTGAAAATCCTGGTGTGCAACTATAATCCAAGAGGTTCGATTTATCCTCGAGCAGAGGACTGTTTCATCCCGAAGAATAGATTATGTTCTAAAGCTGCAAGGTGTCGTTTCCTTCATGATCTTCGACCCGATATGTTGTTTGAAGATGCTTCTTTGCAGGAAATCCATGGCCAAAGCGTTCTTTAAATTAAAATCGGTTTAGGAACGCGTTTACTGAGACCGTGCGAGATCTCCTCCAAAGGGATTACGCATTCCTCTATCAAACCTACAGAGAATACTCAATCTTATTTCACGTACATCCAAAATGTAGAAGTTACGGGGATGTTCAATAAACTCTCTCCTGAGATTCAACTGTTGATTTTCAGAAAATCGATGCCCCTCGGTGGTCCCACAAATCAGCCTTAAAATACACAAGTCCTCTGACTCTGTGTAACGGAGATGATCACGATATGGTGCGACGCATCGCCCTCATCATCTGCCAGGGGAGCAATTCTACTCGTTTTAGAATGATGACGGTGACCCTCCATTTCCTGGGTGAGCGATATGTATGCGTTGACCTCACCTCCGGGTAACGCCATCATTTTCTTTGCCAGCTCCGCGGACGAAGTTGTTCCGTGGCACCAGTATCTCGCAAGGCGGAGAACGTGCGTCCTTGCGTATGGTAATGAAGACATGGGATAATTAGTACATTCCGGCGGCATTTCCCGGAGTCACTTTTTCTTCTTGTATGAAAATTGGAAGTGGAAGTGAGAGACGGTTTCCATGCCCGGCCGTCTCCTTCCTCCATTTCTTAGAAAAACTACACTGAGTACTTTAATTGCGCGCCTGAGAAGCTCACTGTCGGGGTTGTTCAGTTCCTTGTCGAGGCGGTTGTTCTTTCCTGGCCTGCCATTCACCTGGTCATGGAAGCTCGTATCCCAACTCAGTGCCTGATTCGGGGGGTGCCTGTTACTGCGTTTTTGCGAGTTCTCAGTGATGGGCAGGTATTTAACCCAGTTTCTCGGGTCGGTTCTTTGCGGCGTCATTTTTTACCTCTTAGGTTGGGTGGCGGGTAATTCAATGGAAACAACCCCATTTTCCCATGATGGTTGACGTGAATGGGGATCCGTTGTCGGACACTGTTCTGGGAATCCCAAACGTCCGAATACCCCGTTTGCTAGGCTGATCACGCCGCTGTCTGCCTTAGCGCGCCTTAGTGGGAATGCTTCCATCCACCTACCGTATAGGTCCGTGACCACAAGTACGAAATTTCCCGGGGCCGTACTATTGCGCTTTGTATTGGCCCGGTTCACGGATGAATTGTCGCCCTTGGCAGAAATGACATTTGGGTAGCTTGCTGTTTTGAGGTTCCCTCAGAAGCTGTGTTGAACAGTCTGTCACACTCTGCCAGTTTTCCTTTGTGCTTTGTAATTTGCAAGGTTGGTGATAGGAGAGGCCCGCGGTTTGCCTTTTGAATACGTTCAAGAGTTACCTACTGCGAGCGCTTGTGTGAATTTTTCAATTTGGATTTTGTTAAACATAGGGAAATTGTACCGCTTCATAGTAAACGTGAACGAAAGTATGACTAGAGATAAGAGCAATAAACGTGCACGTTTCGTGTAAAAATGCCAACTGGGTGGGTGAGACTATCAGGGCGAGGACGTACTATTTTCGTTGGTGCAATTTTATTGTTTATCAATGCGTATTTATTCGATTTCAATCCAACCAGAGCAATAGACTAACTTTCAGATTTTGAGAGGAGATAAAGTCAAACTTCCTCAGGGACCCTAAGGGGTGTGCAGTTTTTATTACTGAACTACTCGTTGATAAATAAAAATTAATTGTTACAGTAAATGTTCAATTATATTTATTGCAAGTGAGGCTTTTAATGTCTTTGTATGTACCTCTTTTACGTCTCTCTTCTTCACACCTTCTTTTTCATAGGAAGTGAATGTCGAAAACATCGTTTATTGATAACAAAGCACTATTTACAGATTGATAATACTGATTCACTTATGAGTTACAATCTAAGATTATGAAAATTCGACGATAATGTCGCGCAAACTTATGTAGGTACCGGCAACCAATCCCAGAAGACTAAAGACTATTAACGCCGCGTTCTTAACGACCATAAAATAAAAGCTAAATCCGTCCCTGGTGTACCAGTAGGTTGACGTCTCAATAGCCGCAGGTATGGTTATACCCAGTGCAGACAGACAGAGCGCTCCAAATAAGGAGATGAATAAGTCCAACGCTGGGACGGTCACAGCCAGTATAACTGAAAATGGTCTTGGTCGCGAATTGTCAATCAGATTTGCTACTTACATGTAAGTAAAACGAGTACAGTCCTCGTTACGTACTCCCAAACTTCCTTTCTCGGTTTCCCTTCGAATTTTGGGCTCAGGTACTGTGTCCACGTAATGTCAATAGCAACGTAGTACTGGATCGTGTACGTTATAAATATGGCCAAAGCCAAGCTGATCTTCAAGATCTGTGCTAAACTGAAAGATTACAATCAGATTACCACAGTGAA